AAGTTTTTTTTTTTTTTTTTAAATAAAATGAAAAAGTAAAAAATAATTAAAAATGTAACTAAATAAAAAGGCTTTATTTATTAAGGAAAAATAATAAAACGAAACATTTTTACAAAGTAAATAAACATTTTAAAATTGAAAACCAGCCCCGCTGTCCCCATCTGCATCCGAATAAACGCGCAGTGTTTTCTACTGCAATTGTGTGCAACCGCTCGGGCAGGAAAACGCGCAATCTGCCTGGCATGACTGGGGTGCCATTAGAAAATAATGGCACTGCCAGCGCGATCGGCAGTGGTGTGCGATCCGTGACTGCACGGTCATCATGCACGAAACCGAGTGGATGGCTGGGTGGTTACGGAATCGCACACCACCGCTGATCGCGCTGTCAGTGCCATTATTTTCTAATGGCACCCCGGTCGTGCCAGGCAGATTGCACGTTTTCCTGCTGCAATACCGCCGCGGGCGATCACGGTTGAAAACAGTGCACGGTGCATGCCATGAAAATAGGTACATCTACCTTTTTTTCAGCGATTACAACGCAGATGTAACCCCATACATGCGGATGCAACCGCTGTATGCAACCGCACACGATCGCACGTCCTGGGAATCCCCAAGTCTGCACAAACCCCAAAGGGTATATTCACTTTCCCAAGTAATTTGGGAAAATGGAATTACCCGCACAAATCTCCCTCCCACTATACTTACCTTTCGGCGACCGGTCCTTCCCTTCCACCAGTACGGGTGTAGTATCTGTACCTGTTCCAGGTATTCTGAATTTTGCTCGCAAATTGCAAGCACTCGTTGGTCAACGCAGTCACCTGACGGCACTGACCAATGAGAAGTGCTTCTTAGCACTACTAAATACGGTTTTGGTTAAAATTATTTTTTTGGGGTATCAGGACAAGTAGATTCGGCACCCGCTTTAGTCCTTGGACAAGTAAAATTTCCACACCCCTGGTACTATTGCTGGGATTTGTAGTCCTCTATATAGCGCAATGCAGAATACCACCACCTATATAGGAATACAACAAATCTCAGCAATAGTACATTATACATACAGTGAATAATGTACTAATGCTGGGATTTGTAGTCCTCTGTATAATATACAGCACAATGTACCATCAGCTATAGAGGAATATAAATCTCAGCAATACATTTATAGAGCACCATGTGGGGGGGAGTGCAGTCTTACCTGAGCAGTCTTCCAGCAACTTGCTTCTGAGATAAGGCCTGTCTATCAGCGATTGTCATCCCCCCACACCTGCTCCTCCTTACTTCTTCTCCCCACCTCCCTGTGCCGATTGTGGATGCGTGAGGCGGGAAAGAGGTGCGGCGTGTGGATGCGGGCGGGTCTGACAGCGGCGAGCGTGAGGTGGGGAGGAGGTGCGGCGCTAATTCCACACCCCCTGCTGCCCCTCTACTCCCTGCTTCCCTGAGGCTAGGCCTCGGGGGCCTTGTGGGAAATCCAGCCCTGCCTATAGGCATCAGCGGGGCCTTAGTGGTGTGCTGCAGGATGACTTTGCTGCCTGTAGACCCTGAGGCCCTCGGTCTTGCCACTCTAGAGGGGCATCAGCAAGGCACCCGACTGACTCCGTAACTGTCGTCATCATCGGTTGTTATACACGCTATTATACACTTCTATTTTTTCAGTCAAGACACCCTTTTATAGTATGCAAAATCTCAAAGCACCCCAGTCTAAAATGTAAAAAAATGGCTTGCAATTCCTAGATGGGAGTCTAGTATTGGTTTTAGGGAGACCCTATAAAAAAAGATGTGGAGGTTACCCCCTTTCAAATCACAAGCATCCCCTTCTTGTCAGGAGCTATAGGACCTACCCTACAGAAAACCACCTTCACATCAAGAACCCCTCTTAACATCAGAGTTTTTCACCACAGTGTGGCAGCATGGCAGAGAGTGCGAGGTGGAGCATGTCTGGATGTTTTTAGTGAAACTCTATGGATGTGTGAATTTTGACAGGTTCACTTTAAAGATGTGATGTAGAAACTTAGAGTCTTTGTCTTGTTACTGTATAGTTGTAGCTGTAAAACTGCTGTGACCACGGACACCTTTACAGAAAATTTGGAAGTCTGATGCAATGACTGTTACTTATTTCAAGAACGGCATGTAGAGTATAATCCTGTCTAAAGGGAAACTATATATCCTGCAGTAGTCAGTAATTCCTTCAGATGACACAGTGCATGGTCTGTTTGGTGTGTCTGTGCCTCCAGTGTACACGCGTTACTGAAGAGCCGGCATTGATATTAGTAAAGTAAAGGCTTCTCAGAGGAGGAAAGTTAAAAATGGCAAGAGGAAAACTTTCAACATCCAGGAAGTCTGCATGCTGGTGGTTATATAGTGCTAAACACAGCTCCCATTACATACTAGACCTCAGTCACTGTGTATATTTCAAGGCATAGTAGTTGTCGTTTTGGCGTTCACATTTGCGTGTGTGTATGTAAATGTATATTATAACCACTGTGGGGTAAAGTGACTAACACAGATTTATTTCATTACAATGTCACCTAGAAGTGGGAGGGATATATTAAGCAGCAAGTGAACATTTTGGTCCCTGAAGTTGATGCGTTTAGAAGCAGAAAAAATGGGCCAGTGTAAGGATTTGACCGACTTTGACAAGGGCCAAGTTGTGATGTCTAGACGACTGGGTCAGAGCAACTTCAAAACTGAAGCTCTTGTGGGATGTTCCCGGTCTGCAGATGTCAGGACCTACCAAAATTGGTCAGAGGAAAACCGGTGACAGGGTCATGGGCAGCCAAAGCATGTGGGGAGAGAAGGCTGACCCGTGTTATTCAAACTAATAGAAGAGCTACTGTAGCTCAAGATGATCAAGTTAATGTAGGTTCCAATAGAAAGGTGTCTGAACACACAGTAGATCAGTTTGTTGCGTATGGGGCTCCGTAGCTGAAGACTGGTCAGGATGCCCATGCTGATTCGTGTCCACTGCCAAAAGCGCCTACAATGGATAGGTGAACATCAGAACTGGACCACGGAGCAATGAAGGTGGCCTGGTCTGATGAATCACATTTTTATCTACATTATGTGACTGGCCGGATGTGTGTGCGTCTTTACCTGGGGAAGAGATGGCACCAGGATGAGAGCGGGCAGAGGTAGTGTGATGCTTTGGGCAATGTTATTCTGCGAAACTGTGGCTCCTGCCATTCATGTGGATGTTACTTTGACAAGTACCACCTACCTAAACATTGTTGCTGACCAAGTACACCCCTTCATGGAAATGGTATTTCCTGATGGCTGTGGCCCCTTACATCAACATAATGCATCCTGCTAGTTCAAGAATGGTTTGAGTATCACAGCAACGAATTTGAGGGGTTTACTTGGCCTCCAAAACCTCCAGATCTTAGCCCAATCGAGCATCTGTGGGATGTGCTGGAAAAAAAAGTCCAATCCATGGAGGCCTCATTTCGCAACTTACAGGACTTAAGGGGTCTGCTACTGACTGCTTGGCGGCAGATACCACTGCATACGTTCAGAGGTCTATAGGAGTCCATGGCTGGATGTGTCAGGGCTGTTCGGTGGCAAAAGGAAGGGGGACCTACTCAATATAAGGCAGGTGGTCCTAATATTAGTGTGTGTGTATGTGTATTACACACACACACACCTGGGCAAGTCCCAGGAGTAAGTGCTTCTTAAAATTTATAGTGCCTAGACCTCCCCCCCAAAACAAACACAACCTCCTCCTTCTTGTTGCTTTCCATTGGCAAAAACAAACTCGCTCAACAACAAACACACCTTCTTTTTTTAGAAATGTTTAGTGATGACAATCTACAAACACATACTTCTAGATAATTGCCGGCTTTGTATTCCTTATTTTTCTTTTCTTCCCCAGTCTTCTGACACTGGCCATGTTTACTAAGGGAAGATTAGTAGCTCTCCTTTTTACTTCCTCGATTTCTGGCACATGTGACTAGGACATGTGACCATACACATCTCAAGGAAGGGAAGGAAGGGAGGAAAATGCCTTTCCCTGAGATTACAGATGAGATTTCCCAGCAATGCTCTGCTGATGACAAGGCAATATCAGGGTGCATTGCTTTGGCAAACTGAAGTCATTTTGCCCTTTCAAAGCAGGGAGTGAATGCTCTGCAAGTGTAAGTATTTCAGAATCACAGCATTTTACACCTGATATGTCTATGTTACTATTAATCATCATACATAGAGGGATGCATTGGTAGAATTTTATTTTTAAGTGTAAAGATCTGCTTTAAAAATATATTTAAGTACCTTAACTATTAACAAAACTGTATCTTATTTGTGTATCACTCGGCTGTAGATCCTCAAACTCTGAATTGGTGTTGACACTGTCCTTCCTTCTGGAGGGTGGCTACTTTTTGTTCCCCATGGTCCCTCTTGTGTGCTGTAAAGTAGTCACCGCTCCAAGCTCACTCCTGTGATGAAGAACAATCTCTCCATACAAATCCGTAAACTAAACGTGAGATTGTAGTCCATCACGAGAGCGAGCCTGGAGCCGTGGCTTGCTGAGCTTTGAGATCGGGCTTGCATTGGGAGTGTCTGTAAACATATGGGTGAGAGCGTGATATCTCATGGTGGTAGTCACTCATTTTAAAGGGTAAGTGGGGGCCGCAGTGGATTTGTCACTCTTTTTCAAGCTATGCAGCTTTGTTCCCCAGCAATGGTGGATGATTGATAGGAAATTCTAGACTGCACTTCAATAGCATGCCATTCATATGTAGGTTTATAACAGGGATGCATACAGGGCAAGTATTGACCTCTTAATGAAAGTAAGAGGTACATTTGTGGTAGCTATCTTTATAATGAAACTTTCTTTTTTTTCTCAAGGAAGCGGCATGTGCTTATGTACTACTGGTCACGGCCACATACTGGATCTCGGAGGCCATTCCTCTAGGTGCTGCGGCTCTAGTCCCGGCATTTATGTTCCCACTCTTCGGTATCCTGAAATCAAGCGAGGTTGGTATATTTAAATTTCAGATTTGACAGATTTGTAGCAAGCAGATGGAGCTGTGTTCATAATTGCTTTGTGAGGTCTCTTTGGGGTTCCTTTTTATAAATGTTCAGCACTAGAACACCAGATGGCGCTGACTAAGGGAAATTCCTATATTTATGTTTTCCAACTATGGGTGCTAGTGCCATATAGAACTTTTGTAAATTAACCCCTTTTTTTTGTAGCTCTTGTACTAAAAAATAGACTTGAATTGCAGGCATCCCCAGCAGAGACCCAGACCCCCCCTCTCCCCCCCCAATTAAAGTCATGGAAATAGATATGCAGTAGGACAGATATTATACGAACAGTCATCATTCTCAAAGTAACCTTCATTTGCTGGTGACAGCTGTTGTGCTGCGTGTTTTAAGCATGACTGTAATTTAACCACTTGAAAGACCTGGGTGATCACAGCCCCCCTTCAAGCCCATTAATTGGCCGTAGGCGATGCTTTAAAAGCTTTTACCGCTCATCAGCTTAGTGTTAACGGTGATTGGCCCTACAATTATTCCTCTCACTCTGACATTTGCGATGATATGCGGCATTATTGACAGAATCATTGTTTTCGCACACAATGCGCTTTTTGTTTACTTTTTTTCTTTTAAGAAGCCCCCTATGGGATATTAATTTACTGTGACAGGTCCTCTTTATGGAGACATCAGGGGTCTCTAAGACCCCTTATGTCACCTAGGGACCCCCAAAGAAAGCCGATGAAGCAGAGCCCTGCTTTATCAGCTTCTCTCTGGAGAGTGACAGCTGAATGGGGAAGTGATGTAATAAACATCAATTTCTCATTCTGACACCGGAGAGAAGACCGTGTAATGATCTTCCTCCAATCTCCCTGCACAGATCTGTTTTGCTGGTCCTGTGCCTGCAGGGAGTCCGGGATGGGTGGCAAGTGGTTAAGAGAAATAAAGCCAAAAATTTTTGGCTTGCTTCAGTTCTCTTATGGGTCACAGTAATAGATTTACTAATGTTCTCCTGTGACCCAAACTCTGCATCTTGCATGCAACTTCCGACTATATGTTGACAGCGCAGAGCTACACCGCAGCCGGTGGGGATCCCGACAATGTCAGGATGCATCCTGCTGCCTGATTGACAGCTGCATCTGCCTCTCTAGAGCCAGCTGTGCCCACCCCCTTCCCTGCCTGTCCCTCCAATGAGCACTGGAGCAAGAGAGGGAAGGGAGGGAAATCCCTGCGGGGAGTGGTGACTGACAGGAGAAGACGGTGAGCTAAGTGATCATCTCGCACGATGGCTCAGCTCTCGATCTATAGAGCTGGCCTGTGACAGAAGCAATGTCCCATGCCAGCTCTAAGTATTTGGAAAAGAAAGTTTTACTCTCCCAATACGTCCCCTTTACTGGGCATCAGAGTTAGCGGAGTTAGACTCAGTGCTATCAGCAATCAACACTCTGTAACTGATCTGGTCTGACAAGCCGCCACCTCCCCCTTGTCTACAAGTCTCATGTTGAAGAATATTCCTCACCCCTGCCAGCATAGTAGAGGTAGAGAAGGTTGTTTTTGAGACTTGGAGTAACAGGATTTGGAACCTGCTTAGACTTTCTCACAGGATCCTTTAAATGTGCATTAAACCTGGGAAATAACTGTGACAGCCTTGTTTTAAACTTTATCAGATGCATGCGATGATGGCTTTCGGATCTTGAATGTGTTGCATTGCTCACAAAGTGTATTTATATTACATTTTTATTGGTATATTTAAGTTGCGCTTTCTCATATGTTAGTAAATGTCTAACCACATGTTCTCATCATAGGTAGCATCCGAATACTTCAAGGACATCCACCTGCTACTGTTTGGTGTCGTCTGTCTGGCCTCCTCCATCCAAAAGTGGAACCTGCACAAGCGGATAGCACTTTGGATGGTGTTGTCTGTGGGCAGCCAGCCTGGATGGTAAGACCTTGTTGTGTCTTCTGCTTGCTCTGACATGTCAGCGTGTAGCTGATGATTAGTTTCTGCACACTGGGACCGTTTCCCTTTGTTCCTGTATACTATATGTTGTCTCAGGGGAATGTAGTAGTTTACCTCTGAAAATAAACTGTGACATGAACTTGTAATATAATCTGCATACTCGCAGGAGCGCTTCTCAATGGTCTGTGCTATGCAGGCCTCCTCAACCATGTCAACAAATGTGGACCACCTACGTCCACTCGTTTCCCTATAACTCCATCATCTATTAATGTGCTTCACTAACACTGAATCACATTTTATAAATGTTTATTTCAATTTTGTTTCTTACTTGCAAAGTTGGCATGAAGAAGACTTTGGCCTCGTGTTTTAATAAAATTGTCTGCGTTCTTTTGCATTTTAACCTCCTGTTCTGGGTTTTCCTGAACATCCCTTTTTCTTATTCCTTCCATTCTGCTTGCTTAGCCACTCACTTCTACATTTTTCTAATACTGTCCTCTTGTCTGTCCCTGTGCGTGGCGTCTCTGCCGCCTCCGTCTGCGCACATATATACTAGGCAGGGATTCATTTTTACAGAAGGTTGACGCCCATAGGGACCCTGTCAGTCTCTCATAAAATCATTGCTAAAATTTCCTGCAAGAGTAGTACCATACCTATACTTGCCTTTCCAGCAGCCTGCATTCCACGACTGCAACTTCCATCGCTCTCTTTGGCATTGAACACTTCTGGGAGTTTTGGGTGCCCATCTCTTGCGCCACACACTGTGGCTCCTTCCTCTAAAACTGTGGAGTCCTGTAGTGGTGTGGGAATTGGAAAAAGGAGCAACAGTTAGGCAACACAAGCTTTTAACACTACAAGAATTGTCAAATGGTGAAGGGTCTTGGGCTAGGTTCACACCTAACTGTTGGGGTAACGTACATCCATTAACCAATTAACCATGTGCGTTAAAGTGTGCAGTGTTAAGGTGGCCATACACTGTACAACCATCGCAAGACCTTAGTCTTGCGATGGTTGTAAAGTGATTAAAAAAACGTACGATCTGCCCATCTTGGACAGGCAGATCGCACTCTCGATCATCGCAAGCCCGCCCCCCTGAGGGGCGGGCTTCCGATGACCGCAATGCTGAACGGGCAGTGTGCGCGTGCGCACACCGGCCCGTTCGGCATTTGTCTCCCGAGCACTGTTCAAACCAGCCGAAAATCGTACGATTCTCGGCTGGTTTTCTAACATGCTCCTTAGACAAAAGACGTGCGACCGTACATTAGAAACGGTTGCACGTCTTCGTTCACACTGTTCGATTCTCGTACGATCGCGGGATTTCCCGCGATTCTCGTACGAGAATCGAGCAGTGTATGGGCACCTTTAGGCAGGCCATTCAATATGAGAGAGCTGACAATGCAGTGTGTGTGTTTTCTATAGCATTATTATGACATTGTGCTTTTGATGATATAAGGCATTTTTCTCAAATGCACATTAGATGGCGATTTCTCAAGAGAGCCAGAAATTAAAAGGTTTTCATAATCCTGCAATCTCCATTTAATTGCAGCTGCGTCTGGGCAGCTCTGCAGAGCGATATAGATGGGTGTATATTTACTGCTAGGGAAAAAGTGATTTTGCCTTTTACCAAGACGTCCCCCGGCCCGGTGTCTCCTTACACGGTGATGTCATGATCCAGATGTGGGGGATGTATCAGCTTGTTTCCTGCAGTTACAGGGAAACCATTGCGTATGGCTGCTCGTTAGCCGTCAGGATATGCAGCTTGCTTGTGTTTAATTGATCCAGTTAGAGATAATTGGTGTCCTATTGCAGTGAAGCTTGCAAGTTGAAAAGATAAAAAGCTGACTGTTCAAAGCAAAGCTCCACTATTAACCCTGTTTTCCAGTTTCTCCCTCCTACGGCTTCTGTTTTAAACATCAGACCTTCTTCAACATCCTTGTACCTCTTCTTCTCCTATTGGCTTTATTCAGTGAATTGCTCAGATATAAAAATAAACAAACTAATGCAGATCTGAATCCAATAATACATCATTAAATGTGTTATTTTAAATGCAAGAAGCTTAAGAGAACTTTGGCCCATCCCCCCCTTTTTTTGCCTTCGTTCTCTTTAGGGTCACAGGAGGACATAAACTAGTGTCCGCCTGTGACTCAGCATCTTTTGGGCTATTGCGTGCTATATGCTGACCACGCAGAGCCGTGCTACAGCCGGGACGGATCCCGACACTGTTGTTGGGATCCACCCTGCTGCCTGATTGACAGCTGGCTCTTTCTTTCTAGAGCCAGAGACAGCTGTGCCCGCCCCCTCCTCCATCTGTTCCTCCAGTCAGCGCTGCAGGAACGCAGAGGGCAGGGAGGAATTTATGCAGGGAGCGATGACTCGGTCACCACTCTCTGGTGGGAGAATCAATATAGCCGTCGCGTGTCCAGCTCCAATTATGGGTATGAGGGTATTTCACGCTCCCCCCCCCATAATTCTCCTTTTAGTACCTGAAATTTACTTGGTGGCAGCCTCTTGCAGTTCCTGTACAAAAGAGGTCAGACTGGAAGAGGGAGAAACCGCTCAAGGAGCCCGTTAGATGTGCTGCAGTGCTTATATGCTAACATGCTGATAGGAGATAGTGGAGTGGCAGATGAAAACTCCTCTGTCTGCTGCTTTTCTTTTTGCTGTCCTGTCACAGGATTGGGGGAGAGACACGAGACCTGCAAGTGTTACTGAACTGCAGCAGATTAAAATCAGGTCTGGGGGCAGATGGTAAAGTTGTGTGGCAGGGCTGTGCAAGTCTTTGAACTGGATGGACAGATGTACAAATCCTCTGGCAGCTTCCAAATATGCATTTCAGTACCGTAAAACAATCCAAATTCACTCTGTTGAAGTTAAACCAGGATTTGACAAATGAATATGGAATTCTGGAGCCAGTCTGCCAATTCAAGAGCCATCAGGGTTTTTTTCAGTAGCCTGCTCTTTTGACAACAATTAGAGATAACCTCAAATGTCAGCTGTCGTTCAGGAGCATTGGCTACCTGGCTCCTGGAATTTGTCCAGCCTTAAGTTAGTACAAGATTCATTCTGATTGCTTGCTGTTGAGAATTGCCACTTAAAGCAGAACTCTGGGTAAAGTTTTTTGGGTGGGCTACCCCCACACTGCAAGGGTTATTTGCTCGTTTTTGTCTACGGAGGAGAATTAACCGTTCTACTCACCCGATCCTCAGAGCTGGCTTGTTCTTAGACTGGTCTCTGGAGACGCTCTCCTCCTCCGCTGCATTTGTCTAAGGTCCCGTAAATCATCATGTTCATACAGTGTACGGGTAGCCCCACTGCAAAGGTTAAAGTTTTCCCTGCGCTTTGCCCACAGAGTGCAAAGCGATGGGTTCCCTTGCACTTGGTCTTTCCAAGCAGCATATACTTGTCTTCCTTTTGCTCACCTGCAGCTCTGTTTAGCTGCCGAGAGGGATGGAATGTCCTATGCGAGCTACATTTCACACAATTCTTACGGGTCCCTTCTATATACTGCCGCTTTATAGAAGGGACAGTGATGTGCTTTACAAATGTGCTCTTCTCTCCATTAGCTTCAGGACCAACAGAATTGAATGACTGGACTGCTTCACACAGAGCCATAGCAGCAAGCCAGAAATGGTGGGGAGCAGCTCACCAACTGTACCCGGAGGAGGCCTTTATCGGCTGTTAGGGTGTTGCATGCACCCCCTAGCTCCCTGTTTTGTTGTCTGTGTCCCCGAATGCAGCAATTTCCCTTTACTTTGTGTACCAGAGATATGAATACTTGAAAGGAAATCTCCTTAATGTGTTGAAAGACCTTTTCCAGAGGAACAAGTGATCTCATTGGGGGATTTACAAAATGCCTACTTTCTGATTTCTGTAGGGCAGGAAGTAAGGCTCCCAGATGGGGACAGAGCAGTAAAAACCTGACAGCGGTACCTTAGTCTTCATTTATAATAAAAAATGTAATTTATAATAAAAAATTATAAGCTGCCTTATACATTTACATTGTAAGAAGAAGCAGCAGTAAAGCACCTCCATTGTATAGTGGACATGTGCGATTTCGTTTCGTTACGAATCGAAATTCGTACGAATTTTCCTGAAATTCGTAGATTTGTAAGCATACGAAATCCGAATTGCAGTTTCCGAATTTATATCCGAAATACGAAATTCCGCTAACGAATTTCGGATCCGAATTTCTTTGAAACAGGAACTAATATTACCCCTGTAAATGAGGTTGAACAACATGACAAGATTTTTTTTTTAATCCGAAATACGGATCCGCTGCTGCTGAGGGCTGCATTACAATACAGGCAGGAAACACGAAATTCCGTTGACGTATTTTCGTTCCGTTACGAACATTCGTTATATATTGAAGTTAAAAAGCAAAGTACATTTATATTGGTGTTGATGGTATTTTGAATATGAAATTTGGAATACGGAATCCGTTAACGGAATTCGTATTTCGTTTTGGTTGACCAATCAGAGGTTCTCTTCTGCTGCTGAGAGTTGCATTACAATACAGGCAGGAAATACGAAATTCCGTTGACGTATTTTCGTTCCGTTACGAACATTCGTTATATTGAAGGTAAAAAGCAAAGTACATTTATATTGGAGTTGATGGTATTTTGAATATGAAATTCGGATCTGGAATCCGTTAACGGAATTCGTATTTCGGATAAAAAAACAACTACCTCATCGACTCCAATATTAACAAAGGTATTTTTGCTTTTTTACTTCATCATAACGAATGTTCGTAAAGTTACGAAAATGTGCCGAAACGAACGAAAATCCGTATTTCGTACGAATCCGAATTGAGTTTCGGATACGAATTACGAAGTAATGGATATTACGAAACGGAAAACATTTTTTTGACGCCGCACAAGTCTATTGTATAGTACCACAAAGAAGGAAGCAGAGATTGTGTACTGATCAAATATGGCTGCTCCAATGTGCATGTATTAACCACATGGGTGTGTGTATTCTATATAGAGTTTCTTCTATGCACATTCAGAACAAATGTAAATTTTTTTGTTTGTTTTCATCCTGTTCTATTTTAGATTGCAAGCTCCCACGGGCAGAGCCCTCCTTACCATAATCTTGCTTTGTATTGTAACTGTAATGTCTTCCTTATATTGTAACGCTTTGTTTCAAACTTTTGGAATCTATATAAACCCTGTATAATAATAATATTAATAATAATTTTGTTTTTCTAAGGCTGTTACTAGGCTTCATGAGCTGCACGTCTCTCTTGTCCATGTGGTTAAGTAATACTAGTACAGCTGCTATGGTGATGCCCATCGTAGACGCCGTGCTTTACCAGCTAAACAGCGCTTCACCTGAGGAGAGAGCATTAACGAACGCTAAACCAAACTCTGCACCGAACAATGAAGGTATGGCAAGTTTGAAGGAGAAAATGCCATGAAGGGGGCGGCTTAGTTAAAAATATGGGACCCATTAATTAACAGTTTGGTTATCTGCTAGTAACACAGATTTGTACATAGTCGGTGCTAATTAGCAACTATAGTTATTTAGTGTAGTCCCCATGGCACATTGGAATCTTCTAGCATGTGAATGAAAAAGACCCGGTTAAAAAAAGGATATGCGTTTTAGTGACGCTTCTGATCTCCTCACGTACGATATTCAGGGCTCCATTACAATGAATGCCTAAACTGTAAATCGTAGGGTGGAAATCGCACAAAAACAAGAAACAAAAAGCACACCGGCATCATGGGGTTCTATGGGTTGTATTTTATGCAAATAAAAGAGAGGCACTCGGACTCGATTTATATCAGGCTTGTCAAATGCAATTAAATAGCATGAAATGTAGCCGGGAACTCCATTCCCAATCTCCCCACTGTTGTCTCGCCAGCTGTGGAGCATCACAACGCTGTCCTAGCTGACTCCTTTCGAGGGCAGGCAGTCTTCATCAGAGGTCTAATGAAAGCAAATTATTTCATTACATATGTGTTTTGCAGTGCTAGTGTTTAACTGCTTCCCATCCAGCAGCTGTTCATAAATGGCCGGACAGGAGCCTTCTAGATGCAGGTGGGCGTTTTAAAACGTCCTTCCTCGCCATCCAGCACGAGCAGTAAAAATGCTCAAATTTGAGACAGCCCGTGATAGCTGTTTAAATACAAGCGTTCCGGTGGCTCTGGAGCCGCCCGATCGCTTGTATTTTGCATGTGGGTGTATGGCCTCCCCTCTACCGCTGCCGATCCTGCGTTCCGCTGTCTGTACGTTTTTCATTTTTATATAGTAGAAAAATTAAAGTGAGACTAAACTCAGGCGTTAAATCTGAAAATGCATTTAAGTACATTAACAGTTAACAAAAATGTATCTTATTTGTGTATCACTCGGCTGTACATCCTCATCATCTCTGAATTGGTGCTGACACTGTCCTTCCTTCTGGAGGGTGGCTACTTTTCTTCCCCATGGTCCCTGTGCGTGTTGTAAAGTAGTCACCGCTCCAAGCTCACTCCTGTGATGGACTACAATCTCATGTTTAGTTTACTAAATTGTATCGAGATTGTAGTCTATCACAGGAGTGAGCTTGGAGCGGTGACTACTTTACAACACACAGGGACCATGAGGAACAAAAGTAGTCACCCTCTAGAAGAAAGGTTTTTTTTTTTTCCCCTAAGGGGACACATCTGCTTTTATAACTGCTTAGAGTGTTACTTGGAGTTGGGTTAGTTGGGGTCAAACCAAAGTTCACTTTAAACTAGCATGTTTGTTTCCCAGTTATTATTTTTATTCTGACCACTATCTAAAGTCTGTGGAGCTGATATAAAAAAAATCTGCCCATTTATATAGCTGGATAAATGCCATTCGCATGGCATAACTGCAACTAGATGGCGCTGAGAAGCTATATGCTGGGCGGAAGATTTACATTCCAGCCCCTACATGTAGCTTTAGGGCAATATGCTTGGCAGGTTGTGTTGCTATCTCGAGCCATTTTAAACAAAAACAATCTCAAAAACACATCAGTTATATCAGTTCTCCTTTTATTTTTTTTAACAGACACTACAAAGATTGATCTTGCATCTTTTCCTGAAAGGTAACTATTACAAATTGCAGTTTTATTGTCACAAAGGTTGTATTTGATTTTTGTGTTTTTGAATTTGTTTTTTATTTTTTAAGGCCCATTTCACCCAAAATGAAAGTTTTAGAGTTGTCTGGTATCTGGGCAGCATGCTGGAAAAAGAATAATACTTTGGTTTTATTAAACAGTTGAGCTAAAATCATATAACATTAAAAAATAAACGACAAAAAAAATGTTTTTATTATGTGTGAGAAAATGAATATATTGGCAGCAAATAGTTGTATACCTGGGGGTAGGCAAACCCAGCCCTCCAGCTGTGGTGCAACTACAAATGCCTAATGTGTTCTGACCTCGGTGTCTATGTACAGTGGTTCCTCGGTTCATGAACTTATTTCCTTCCACGATTCTGGTCGCGAACCGAATCAAACTGGGATCAGACCGCAATCTCGACTAGAGGAAGCCACGACCAGTGTCGGAGCAGGGAAGATGGCTGTGGTCATGTTAGTCACCTGATGCAGAGTTCGTGAACAGAAGCAACATTTTGCTGAACTTCCTGTTTGCGACCCAAATTGTTCGCGAACAGAAGCGTTCGTGAACCAAGGTACCACTGTACATGGTATCGCAAGGTAATGGGGGGTGCGTGGTGTGTATCTTCTTTAGTGCTTGCATTGGGGGGTCTAAATTTATTGTTACATTTTAGTAAACTTTATTTATTTTACTTGCACTGTGTTGCTATAAAGCCCAATATGATGGAAATGGAATTGTGCAGGCGAAAAGCCATATTAATGGAGACATCAGTGCATCAGATCCCTACACATTTGAGTACTTTCTGCACTCCCGTTAAGTCAATTTGTTTTGGGTTTTTTTTGAAGACCGCCTGCTATCATCTGTCTGCTGTGAACCCAGAAGTACTCAGAGCAGAGCACTTCTGGGTTCACTGCACGGAGGAATGATTAGGCATTGTATTACGCTCTTCTGCGCTCCCTGACAGCCCTCCTGTAGTTGTTGTGGTCCTGGGCTCCTTAGAGGAGCAGAAGAGCTTAGAAGAGTTGGCTAGCGGCCACCCTAAGCCAAGAACCCGGCTGTTGCAGCCATGAGCTTGTTTTAACCCTTTAACTGCCATGAGATGCATATAATTAACAGTGAAAGGGTTTAAAAATAAATAAATATAAGTGTGTGTATAAACAAACCTATAATTTTTACCCAAAGGAGCACATGTCTTTTTACTGCTGTGCCCCATGAGACGGCCTGTAAAATAATGTTCCATACTTTCCTTTCCATCGGGTGGTGAGTGGAATCTTTGTGCTGTAAAAGAGCTCTGAATGCCTCTGCGCTCAGAGTATTTCAAGAGAACAACTATTCCACTCGCCACCTACTGGAAGGTGAGTATGTCACCTATTATTTAAAGCCTGGCTTTGTATTATTGTTTGTTTCTCTTTAATCGTGTAGATTGGACATTTGTCAGCTTGTAACTATACCAGCTGTAACAGACAGTTGTGTCCATTTCCTGTCCCCTGCCCTGTAGCTTTTAGTTGCACAGCTTATAAGCTAAGAGGAAATGAATTGTTAGCTACACAGACCTGGATCTGAATTGTGCGGCGAAAGGGAATACCAAAATTGTATCGGAGCGAGCATTGTCTGTCATCTAAGGATACGCATTTTGCCCTGCTGGGAAGTAACAGCGGCTTCTGTGAAAATATTGACATTCCAATACGTTTCTGTTTTTTTTCTTTCAGCAATAATATTTTGGATAATGGAACCGCAAGCACTGAAGAAAATGAGGTACGTTGGCTCACGCATCCTCTACCCGTCATCCTTATTTGTTCTTGTCGGAAGCTATTTTATTTTTGATTACTACAATAGATAATGGAGCGAGTATGAAAATGAAGTCAGGTTTGATGGCTTGCCAGTCTCCTCCTCTATGTACGATGCAACCTTATCCTGCATAAGGTTGTGTTGTATTTTCTTGTGATGTGGCTTTTCTTTATGAGGATTCATAGCTTACTGACGTTATACACTAAACAATTCCTAGCAGATCAATTTAGATCGCAAACAAGGCTGATTTGATTTTTTTTTTTATTCTAAAGGAAATCTATGGATTTGTGAAAACCTGATAAAAATGTATCTTTTATGTAAAGCCACTTCCTGGTTCAGAATGATTAACCTATGCAAGTCATCCAAATCTAGAAATTTCTTGGTAACTGACTAAATGATTAGATATTTACATACACAACCTGTCCAAAAACAGTCACCACCTGGATTTAGCAAAGCAAATGGGCCAGACCCTTCAATTGGATATTAGGTCAAGGTTAAGGAACGTTAAGTGCCCAAATAATGAGGTCAGCTGCCTCCCTGAATATACAGAATGATCAGGCTTTTCCATTTTTTTTTTCTTCCCTGATAGAATGGGCATATTCCAAGATGGCAATGCCAGGATTCATCGGGGTCAGATTGTGCTGGAAAAGACTTTACATAGTGGTCTGACTCTCCCATCATCACTACGTGATTTGGGGGGAAAATGAATGCAACTCTGGATGGCAATAAATGTTGTGACATTGCATAAACTTATCGAAATGATGCTATAAAAAATGCATGCCACAATTAAAGCTAAAGGTGGCCCAACGAAATATTGAGTGTGTGAACACTTCTTTTTTTTTTTTTTTTTTGGACAGGCACTGTATATAGGAACTGCTAAATGTCTGCATGAATACATTACGGACATGACACAATATACAGCAATGGTACCATAAATGTAGATCTAACCCTCCACTGGATGACCTTTTTGTTTACAAAAGTACTGTGTATCATAAAGATTAGCCTTGGGTTGTGTGGTGTGTGTGTGTGGTTTTTTTGGGGTTTTTTTGCTCCTTCAACCTCTGAGCCACATCTTGCCTACATACAATTGCTCCTGATTTGTCTCAACATCATTGCTTTGGAGTTTCCTGATGGTGAAAGTGGTGGACCGTGCAATGTGTGTCATGCATGTGATAGGGTGGCAAATCTGTAGCACAATTGGGAAACAGTTATCACCTGATAACAGGAAGTTCCTGATTTAAGGACCTACACGGCAGCCTCTCCAGCTATGTTTATGAAAGCTGTATATTTTAAAAGATTGAAAACCTCTTTTGAAATGACTACCATCTTAAAGTTTGTGGTTTAGAGTTACTATCAAATTCAATTTTATCATTAAAGACGAGTAAAACTTTTATTAACCCTTGCAGTGGAGTTACCCCGGCACTGCAAGGGTTAAATGCTCGGTTTTTGGATTTCTGGCAGTGTCAACAGGTTTCAGGGTTTTTTTTTTTCTTTTGTACTTTATCGAACAGATGTAACAAAACCTGTTCAATTTTGTAGTTGACAGACTAAAAGGGAGCAAATTGTTATCGTAAAAGACAACTTTTTTTTTTTTAAATGCATTTCCTTTCTTTCCCAGGAAGAACCAACTTTTGACAGCAGACGATACTCTAAGCAGGTAACTAGTCACTCTGCTGCTACATTTTTATGACGCACATATTCTAATGTCAGGCTTTAGTTTATATCTCTGACTGTAGATCAGACTATGCAGCTGAAATGTCATGTCTGTCTTTGTTCACCAACTGAACAGTGAAATGCAGATATAGATACAGAAAATGGAAAGAAAATCAAAGGGGTCTGCTTATGTCTTGTAGTAATAGACGTCTAAAGCAGATTTAATGCAGCTTGTGAAGTTTTACGTGTTTGCTGCCCTGAAGTGGAACAAACTCAAACTGTAACTTTATTTTCCCTGGTAACCTCCTAACATAAGTGAGAACAGAGGCTGTCGGTAGCTGCTGAAGTATTTTCCCTAAAGTAGTTTCCATCTTTTCAATTTGCCGTCGGGTTGCTATATCTAGATCTGAGCTGCGCCTGGGAGCAGGATGTCTTTGTAGGCAACTCAATCCAGGAAGTAGAGATCCGCCAGTAGTCAGTTGATGGAAGCTCCTGAAATGT